CTGCACCCGAAGGGAAGCTGACCATGGGGATGGTCACAGACGCCTTATTCAACGAGGAGGCAAGGAAGAAAAAAATGGAAGGAGAGCAGTCCCATGCCCTTGTCACAGAAAGTAGAGGCAGAGATAGAGAAAGGGGCAGAGGTAGAGGAAGAAGTAAAAGCAGAGGGCGTTCACAGTCCAGACAGGACAACACGAGGAGGTGTTTTTACTGTGATCAAGAGGATCACGTAATAAGAGATTGCCCGGAGAAGAAGGCGGACAGACAAGCCAAAGAGAAGGCTAAGGGACACGGAGGTCCCTCAACTACAGCAGTTGCAGTGCATTCCTCTGACGATGAAGATGTGATGCTTACAATCTCGTCAGAGTTGGAGACACTCGGCTGGATTTTGGATTCAGGGTGTACGTTTCACATATGTGCGGATAAGAAGCTTTTCTCCACTTATCAAAGAGTCAGCGGTAGCATTATCCGGATGGCCAACAACACAGTGAACAGAGTTGTCGGCATAGGGACAGTGCGGTTCCTTACTAAGGCTGGAAGAAAAGTAATTTTATCTGAGGTCCGACATGTGCCAGGAGTACAGAGGAATCTAATCTCCCTGAGTATACTAGATCTAAAAGGAAATTGTTTCTTATCTAGTGGTGGGGTTCTTCATGTACACAAAGGTGATAGAGAACTGTTGCAAGGTAAATTGTGCAACAAACTGTATAGACTGGAAGGAGAAGTTTTGACAAAGATGAGTGTTGTCAAATGCCAGTCGAAGGGTACAAAGAGAGAACATACGCAACCAATGCGTATGATTGAGCAAGGCTTTCATCAGGAATGGCTAAAACGGTGCACGGGAACGCAAGGAGGCAGTTCAAAGGTGCACAAATCTGAGCCAGTGAAGCCAATTTTGAAGAAAGTTCAGAGAAAAGAAACCAAGTCTGTAGAGACTATGCCAGTGAAGAAGAGAGTTTCTTTTGCTTCCGTGTTAGAAACATTTTGCAACCTCTCAAAAGATGCATGGAAGGGAGGGATGCAATCTCGAGTCGCAAAGTGAGCTTTGCAATGCACTCCAATAAGGGGGTGCAAGCACTATGCACTGAGTTGCATAGTGGTAACTTGTACAGACCGGTGGAAGTTGTCTTGGCAGAAGGGCTAACTGTCAAACATCAGTACGGACGTACAAGTGAGACAGAACCGAACATCAGGGATTGCAGCACAGACAACAAGCGTATGTGGAAACGCCAGGAGGTTGTTCAGAAGTTCAGAGGGCAAAGGCTGAAAGTTCAGAAATAAGCTCCGAGCAAGGAAAATTGAGGATGTTGATGTGTCAAACTCTGAAGTTTTCTAGTTGCTCCCGTGTTCATCATGCAAGGAGTTGCACGGTAATGCAAGGGTACCTCGAGCAGGGGGTACAGGGCATCCAATTAGGGGGAGCTGTGTCTTGGCAGTCCAAGCTGCAGAAGTGTGTTGCTTTATCCACAACCGAGGCAGAATATATTGCCGCAGCGGAAGCCGGGAAAGAAGTCAGTTGTCCATGTGGGCGTGGAAGGGGAGAATTGTTGGCTCCATCCACTACCCACATGGTAAGGAGCCCACCATCCACATGGTGTGGGTGGCACCATGTGGTAAAAGAAGCTGGTGGAGGGCAACACCAACTCACTAAAGGAAGATAGTGAGGGTGGCACCACCTTGGCCAATTATGGCTATCACTTCGCCTACTCCTCCTCTCTTGGTTATAAATTGAGATGAGTGAGGAGGGGTTGTAAATCATCAGAAATTGGAGAGTGAGAGCTGTGAGTTGAGTGAGTTTTCATCTCCTTCTCTGTATTTGTATTTTGCTCCATTTTAGTGAAAATTCTCGTTTCTGTCCGTAGATGTAGGCATTGGGCCGAACCACGTAAATATTGTGTTCTCTGTGTGTGTGAGATAATTTGTCTGGGTGTGTTTGATCCTAACAGTTATCAGTCTCTTATCCTTATTGTATCTATTGGGCCGAACCACGTAAATATTGTGTTCTCTGTGTGTGCGAGATAATTTTTTCTGGGTGTGTTTGATCCTAACAAGTGGTATCAGAGCTGGTTGAGTTTTTTTCGAAAAAACAGAGTGCATTTTTCGGAAATGCCCAGAAATCAAAGTGGTCGAAATCCACTTTTGATCACACCAGCTTAAAGCCCTCGACAAGACGATCACAGAGGCGAAAACCACGTCGAAAACGGAGATCGGACGGCCACACACGCGCCACACGCGCTTTGTGACGCCGTTCCCACGCGCCCCCACCCTCACACGCGCCTCACGCGCTTCCAGAGGAAGAAGAAGCGTGATTTCACGCGCATACACGCGCCGCACGCGCGCGCGCCAGCCGACGTCATCAGCTAAGCCGAGCCGAATCTGAGCCGTTGACCAAGCCTTCCAGCCGCTGACCAAGCCGATTGAAGCCGAGCTGTTTAGCCGAGCTGGGACGAAGCCAAAGCCGCTGACCGAGCCGTTGACTGAGCCGCTGACGTCAACCCGACGCCAGCCGAACCGGAGAAATAATCTGGTGCTTCTCAGCCGCACCAGATTCTGCCGATCTGAACCATTCAATCTGTTTTGGCTTGATCTAAGCCATTTGAGATCCGATTTGGGTGATCCAATAGTGGTTTCCGACTATTTGGAGTATTCCGGACACATCCGTACGGTCAGATTTTGCAAATAAGTTTTGAAAAATTTGAAGTTTTTATTTTGGCAATCCGAAGTACTTTTTCGGCTAATTTGACCAGTCCGGACTCCACAGCAAAACTTGTTTTTCAGCCAAAGATCATTTTTGTATGATGGAGGAATCAACGTCGACTTCAGGTTCCATGATAAAGTTAAATGCTTCCAATTATGCCATTTGGAAGCCCAGAATGGAAGATGTCTTGTACTGCCGAGATTTGTTTGACCCCATTGAGCTTAATGGAGTTAAACCACCAACGGA